CTCACTCTCACTCTCACTCTCACTCTCACTCTCACTCTCACTCTCACTCTCACTCTCTCTCTCTCTCTCTCTCTGTCTCTCTCTCTCTCACTGAGGCTATCCGAATGCTATACTTGCTCAATCGAAGGTCTGCAACTATGGGGTGCGTATTGATTCATCAAACAAAGGTTGTTTTTGGGACCTTTGTGTTGGAGGTGTAATTCCATGAACCGGCCATCATGTGGAACACAAACGGACACCAAGTTGGCAATCAGGGCTGATGACAAAGCCAACCTCGTGATATTCAGGGCTGCTTCTTTTTTCTGCACAACACTCTGACCTGCGCGAGAACCCAACAGTAAAAAAAAGATGCAAATCGCGAGTGCGAGGATCATAACATGAGAGTTTGATATGGACGCAGGGCACCTACGAGTGTATTCGATGAAGTTCTTGCGCAAGCACAGGGCTCCAAGCTAGCATTAGCAAGAAGGAGCCAAACACGCACAGGAGAAGGGTTGAAAGAACCACAAGAACCTCTGAGCTTCGGCAACTAGTCTGGAGGGAGCTTTGTCAGAGCTGAAGAAGAATCTATACTGTCTATACTTTCTTGGGTGCCCTCTCTTGCTTTTGCCTCTTCGCTAAGTGCTGATCTTGGTCTCTTGTAGTGCCATAATGTCAATGTGCTGTCGGTCCATGATGTCCATTACTTGTTCTCTTTGACCGTTGTTCGAACCTCTGCAATTTAGAATGGCAATATGCCTTTGGTGCCGCTGCACAATTGCTGCTTTTGTGGGCGATGGAGGAATGGGAGAATCTGGAGTGTCAGAGCTGCCAGTGAGTATGCGAGTTATTATTATTGATTCCGGAAAAAAAGAAAGCAGTTGTTGTTTCCTTTTAGCCTGCTTTTCACAGATTTGCACCCAGGTTTTGATGACTGTGCGCCTCTGCTTTTTGCATGATTGAAAGAGTTCCTTCCTAATCTTATGGCTGTTCTCATGTTCTTGTCTGGTGGATTTTTGACGCTAGGTCAACATTCATGCTTCAGTAGGTTAGGTTGTACCAATTTTCAGACTTGTCTTTTGTGACGTTTGGACAACAATGTTTTTTGGGCGGCATGGTTTTGGTGCCTATTTTGATGACGCTGCGGGATGGGGGAAGCACCTATCTGCGCCGTCAACCCGGCTCGCCTCGAAAAGGGAGGTTGTTCATCGTTAATACATATGTTTTTTCTTGTATATTATTCAGCTTCCGATAACTCATCCGTGCACATCCAGGATCTGTGGATTTGATTAGTGGCGTTGCTGTGAAAGAGTGGAACTAGATTGGAAGTCCTGTTCAACACAATTGAACGACTTCTATATAATATATATATTTTTTCTCGTGTCTTTTGCCTCTGCATGATCTCTCAGCCGTGTTGGCTTGCGAACAACGTGGGGAGGCTCGTCTGTTGAGCTTTACTGCCACATGGTTTCGTCAGTGCTTTGCTTGGGCCGAACTGCGCGTTCTTTGTGATGGCGTTTGCCTTGCAATTGATGCAGAAGAGGCGTCCACCCTTCCTCCACATTTTGTGGCTGCGGTGTCCTTGCCACTCCGGTTTCACCTGCCATTCACAGTCCCAGCAAGTCGACTGCACCAACTCCTCAAGTTTCTCTCCAGCCGCATGCTGCATCTGGCGCAGACAATGTAGTTTGTCTGCATGACAAACTGGTGCTCCGTCATCTGAGGGTGTGTTCCCTGCAGAAGACTTTGGATCAGCTCTGTCTTGGTCTGGGTTTTAGCCTGGGCTCCTCCTGTGAGTTCCACCGAGGCTTGACCTGGACAATCTTCCTCATGGATCATCTGTAGAGCCTCAACTTTGAGATGCTTGGTGATGCGTTTGTTGCGCCACTGGCATTGGAGCCCACGGGGCCTCGGGAGCCATTTGTGCTTGTGAGACCCTTGTGAATTGCCAATGTCTAAAAAGAGCTGGTCCTTGCGCGCTTTGGCTTCTTGCCTATTCTTCTTTCCTGACTCTTTGGCTTGGTGGAGATAGTGGTCTTTTGTCTCCAACAAATGCCGAATCCTCTGGATTGCAAGCAGGGCAACCCGGCCATACCTGTGATCTGTGAGCCGGAGCCCTTCCTCTTCACTTTCTGGTTTCTTGGACATGGCTATTTCTTTGGCAACCTTGTTAGCATCTCTCATTCTGGCCTTGACTGTATAGGGCCCTGGCGGCATCTCTTTGAGCTGTTGTTGGTTCAAGATCATTGGCCGAATTCTGCTTCTCTGATCATGTGTCACCAAAGCTTGCAAATCGTGGAAGGTCTCGGCATGTTTGCCATGAACCCAAGCTTCCCAGGCCTTGGTGGAGAGGATTTGCACCCTCACCTGCATCTGCAAATCCACGTAGTGGGCCAGCATGCGTAGCCCGTAGTACCACGCACGGTCTGTTGACTGCTGTTCTGGCAACACGGTTGTGACCGCACCTTTGCGGTATAGTTCTCCGTCGACCAATGTGTGGCGCACGATTGCCACAACAAAATGTCGTAGGCGAGGGTCGGTGCTCGTCTGTGAGAGGCCAATTGTCACCACATCAATGCCCTGCAATCTGACCTCATCACGCACAGTCCAAGAGCCCCAAGTCTGGACCGCCGCGCCTCCTGTGGACAGCTCATAGCGTGGCAATTGCAGGAGGCCCTGTGACCAAAACTCCAAGTTCAGACCTGATTCAATCTCTTGTTTGTCAATCGGATCTAGCGGCGGAAAAGCCTTTTGAGTCTCCTTGCACAACCAGAGCACATGGATGGTGTTGGCTTCAACACCACAGTGAGGGCAAATGAGCTGTCTGATGCCGTCTGCCTCCGCCGTCTTGGTGACAAGCGCTCCTTGGCGCCATGTCTGGAGTGCACTGTTTTGCGCCTTGTTGAGGCCTTTGGACAGTCTTCTCCACGGCAACCAGTCCAGAGGTTGTTGAACTTCTTGCAACAAAGTTCTTTTGTTCACCTTGATGACTGTTTCCCATTGTCTTGCACGCTCAAGTTCTCTTTGGAGGTAGAACCACTCCGCATTCATGTTGAGCTTGAAGTCAGGATCACCATTGTGTCCAGGCTTTGTCCACTCATTGCGCTTGTCTGTTGTCCAGCCTCTTTCCATCAGGTAGCATTGCAAAGCTCTCACTGGCCCTTTGGCATGCTGCCAGCGATACTGCACGTTCTGGAGTTTATCCCTCTGTACAGCCCACGCTCGGCTCAGATCTTTGGCCAGAGCTTCCGGCCAGTTGCCATAGAATTTGTGGTACACCTTGATCTGTTCGGTGAAAGCCGCATAGTCTGGGTCTTTGTGCCGTGGGTGCATTGAAAACAGGATGTCCAAGTTTCCTGTCTTTTGCAAGCCAATCTGTCGCCCCATAGTTGCTCGGATGCGTCGTCGAACTTGTGGAGCTAAGCCCATGGCCTGGTGACCCCAGCTTATGCCAGCAATGATGCTGCCCTTGTACAGCTTGAGTTTGATGGCCCTGCTGGGGATTTTGAGCGATGCCAGCTTCGCTGTCTTTCTTCCCGCTTTCTTGCGTCTTGCTTTCATCGTTTGCACTCGACGAAGGCGGCCTGCTGTGCAGTCTATGCCTAAGTCCCTCATCACGTCGTGAACTTTGGGCCCTTCTTCTTTGAGCTGTTCGGTCAAAATCCTCTTTGCAGCTGCATTTGACACAATGAATCCAGTCTTCTGTTCAGAAACTTTCAAATTGTCTTTCTCCAGCTCTGCTTTGATGAACTCATAGGCCTGGATTGCTATGCGTGCTGCATTTCGCGGACTTCGATCAACAACATCGAAGCTAAAGTCGTCTGTCCACAGGTCAGAGTGGAGTTTGGGATATTTTTGTGGAATTCTTTCATAGCTCTTTGCAGGTAGACCTTTGCAGCCAGAGGCGCTTGCGGATCTCCGGCCAAAATGCCGTGCGTTGTCCAAATTGGCTGTGATGCTTCACCTTCTGCCTCCAGGATTCTTTGGCCAGTGTAGACCTGCATTGCCATGGCTGCACGCGTAGCAGGATAATCTGACTCCAGCCATCGAATTGCCAACTTTTCCAGACTGATCCTGTCATAGAAATTTGAGAGGTCCAAAAGCACCGAGATGACCGTTCGTTTGTGTGCAGCATGGTGTTCAGTGAGAAAAGCTCGTTTGAGCGCCACTTGCAAACACTCCGTTCCAGGAACCGCACGCTCCCATGGGAAATCACGCTAGATGTTTCTAGCCCACGCTTTGATTTGATCACTCGAAGGCGACACCAAAGCCTGTACATGGTGGCCACAAGAGCGATGGGTCGCTCTATGCTGCTGTTTTTGGGCAGCATGGCAATCAATGAGGTTTTCCATTGGCTGGGGATCATGGCCTGTTCCTCAATGATTTGAAACATCCCGCGCAGGTCTTTCATAGCCTCTCTGGGCAATGAGCGGATGAAGTCGAAACCCAATCCGTCAAGTCCTGGAGCTTTGATTGAAAGTGTCTTGACTATTTTCCATATGTGACAATCAGCAAGAAAGGGAAGGTTTTTTGCA